GAACACGTATACAAGTAATTTGTCAGGGAAAGCTTAATCTACTTCTTCCATGCGTGATGTGTCATCATCTCCTTCAAGAGGTGGCATCTCTTCAGTTACAGCAGCATTGATATCGACAGCAGTAGGATCATCTTCATCAATACCCAGACCAAGTTTGATCATCCTGTAGATCCTGTTAGCATGTGTCTGGGGGATCTTCCAGACTGAAGCCGGAAGACAGGAGTGCAGTTTCATAGAGCAAGATGACCAGATCCTTCACTGACTTGTCGTTCTTGTCAGCCTCTGCCTTTTGCCTGAAGGTCTCGATGATGGAATGGTCAGGATTTATCTCCAAGTGTTTCTTTGCTGCCTTGTAACCCATTGTTGAGTTGTCTCTCAGGGCTTGAGCTTTCATGATTCTTTCCATGTTTGCTGTCCAACCATACGTACTTGTGACAATACAGCATGGGGATGTCACCAATCGGTTTGACACAACGACCTTTTCAACTTTTTTCTCCAAGATATCTTTCATGATTTTGCAGAGGTTTTCAAACTTTGTTTTCTTCTCTTCCTGTTTCTTTTTCTTCTCTTCATCTTCTGGAAGTTCCAAGCCCTCTTTGGTGACTGACACTAAAGTTTTCCCCTCAAATTCTTTCAGCTGTTGGACACAATACTCATCAATCGGCTCGATCATATATATCACTTCTAAGCCATGCTTCCACAGATGTTCCACAAAGGCTGAGTTAGCTACCTGGTCCTTGGTCTCACCTGTGATGTAGTAGATAGGTTTCTGGTTTTCCTTCATTCTGGTGCAGTAGTCCTTGAGAGAAACCATCTCATCACCTGAAGCAGAAGTGTAGTATCGCAATAGCTCTGAAAGCTTCTTCCGATTTTGAGAATCTTCATGTATTCCAAGCTTTATATTTTTAGAGAATTGCTCATAAGACTTTTGTAGTTCTCCTTATCTTCTGCCAGTTCAGTAAAGAGCTCTAAGCACTTTTTGACCAAATTCTTTCTGATAACTTTCAAAATTTTGC